CGCGGTGCAACTATTGATGTAACCAGGAACTGGAGGAATCTCTAGAGCTGCAAGAAAACGTGGCCATGCTGGAAGTGGAAGAGCAAAAAAATTGCCACAAGAATAAACTTAAGGAGTTCAATGAAGAGGCGCTTGGCAGATTAAAAGGTAGGCATTCCTTTTCTCATTTGAAGTGTCCTCAAGCAAAATGCTGTTCTTCGATTCGTTGTCATGATTCAATACGCTAGAAGAACTGTGTATGCTGTGCGAATGTCTTCGTTGGTAGCATACTATGAGGACATTACACGAGACAACTTACAGCTCGTCAAGAAGCTGCGGGCCGAGAACGAGAGGATGTCAGCTAATAACAAACGGCTCAAAAAGGAAATAGAGATAATGGCAGCACAAAATGCGAAGATTCGGGAGCCTCTTCGAGAGCAAGAAGCTCTAAAGTAAGCAGACGTCGTTTGTTCCACAAGTGCTGTTTTGCCTCTCACCTTCGTCTATTTATGCTGCGTAACAATCCAATTTTGTTTTCGCCGTTTGCTGCAGAGCCCGACTCAAAGTGCAGCTACGTTTTGTAGAAAAAGACAAACTAGTCCTTCGCAATCTTAAAAGGCGAAATCAAATGGTATATTTACCGTGGAACACATCCAGCTGAACAACCAGAAATAAAAAGCCAAGAAATTGGTTTAGGCTGCTTGACAGCATACGCATCAGCATATGTGTTCCCCGACGTACAGGGCAAGAATGCCTATTGTGTGTGCAGATGGAAGAAAACATAAAGAATGCGCGCATGGAGGTTCGGAACCTGGAGCACCAAAAGAAGGCAATCAGCCGCTCCATTGGTCAACTGCAACAAAGTTTGAGGAATGTCCAACAAGAAACTGGTGGAGGCTCTGCAGCGCACGGAGCCTTGTTGAGAATCCAAGCAACAGAGACGCTTGCACAGCTAGACTCAAGCTTTCAGCAGATACAACAGGCACAATCTCGCTCCACTTTACCTCAAGGAGTGTCGTCAGCTATATGTGAACTGATCCAAGACACAATTATTGATCATAACAAGTGTGAAAAGGATTTGAAAGAAGAGCTGCGCCGATGCGTGGAGGCCTACAATGATATGCTAGTATTTATGCGCCACCGTTTAGGCGAGCTCAATGTACCTCACTCTTCTATCAAAGCCAAGAGTATTGTATATGAAAACGCTGAAGCCTTGCTCAACATCACGGACGAGTCGTTCACTGCGTTTGAAACAGCAACCGAGAACGAGACAGTGGCGAATCAGCAGTCTGACCAGGCTTCAGTGGAGTCAAAGGGAAACGACGAATTGGCCGTTTCAGGCGCTTCAACAGGCACACCGCCCGAAGACGAACATATTGGTACAAAAAGCTCTAGCCACCCTTCTGGATGGGCTATTACTTATCCATCTGCAAAAGGGTCAGACAATATCCACTTGGGGCAAGTGACTCTCCGGAGACTGACGGGCACTTAATTCAATATAAAAAGCATGCGTTCAAGTTCGCCTTCGTGTAAGATTTATCGCAGTATCTGAAGTAATCAGTTCAAATGATCATACAGTTTGCTTTTTTGCAATGTTTGTTTTCTCTTCGTCCAAACTTTCACATTTTTAAAAGCCTTTCCTCTGGCCAAGACGAGGCTGAGGCCGTGAGTAGCATTCTCCCTAGCATCTGCTCCCAGGCTTCCCAATGTAATCGAGAAGTCACAGTCCGCGCAAGGTAGATCTCTAGTAAACCTAAGTTGCCCGGCAAGCCGCGTCTTTTTTTGTCATGGAGCCGAGGCGGAGATTGGGAATCTCCTGCAGTGACTGCGAGAACTTTTTATAGCCCTATATATTTGGATGTAACTCATATTCAATTATGTATTGATAGAAATATAATAATTGCGAACAGTACGGTTCGCATGCGCAGGTTCGTTCCTGCCTGTCAGCTGTGGGGTTTCAGGGATGCGCCCCACAATCGCCGTTCAGAGATACAGCCGAGTACTTCGTATAGCTTATTGTGAATATTTGTACAAAAGAGAAACACTCTAAGTTATCTTGGCCAGATATCAGCAATTGCATGAGGGAACTGAGGGCTCTCCCAAACTTCTCATCAGCTTACAGGGCCTGCAGTTCCTAGAGTGTTATGGAATCCCATCACCCTATCGTGTATCCCTTCTACGCCTCAGCCCTCACGCCTCATAGTTGTGTTTTTCATCTGCGTTTGTGTTGTCGTTGGGGGCACAAGACGCAGAGCTTCTGGCCGGGACTAGTGCATCTACTGACGTGAGTGGGATCAGGCTCCGAGGGCCACATGATCCCTAAGGCCTCGAACTCCCCTTAGACTGGCGTTTCTGTAGGGGAGTTTCTCACAGTGGCGGCCGCATCCGGGAACCAAACCCCATGTGACCCTCAGGGTCACCCCGGAGCGAAGGCTCCCCATCATCAGAACTACTTCACTGACAACACTGTAATAGATACTAACGAGATAATTGAGGAAAATAAGAGAGCATTAGCTCAAGACGTCGGTCTCATTCTGTCTACTCTTTTGTTCCGCTGACAGGGATAGCCTTCAGCCTAGCATTCCTAGTGTCTGTACCCGTGTGTTTTTGAGGGTTTACTCTTTATATTGAGGCTTATCGTTCCGTTCGTACCCAAATTGTTTATCTAGAAACTGCGGTTGCCACCGCACCCGTTTCCTTTCCATTACCGTTCCAACCTGCACAGCTAAACCCCAGGGCGCTACACCCTGAAGGCAAGCTCCAGACCCCGCCAGCAGCTACCGGGGTACGACGCCTGCACCCTGCTGAGAGATATACTTGCCTGTGCTGGCGGAAGCCTAGAGGGAATATACTCTAAGGGATTATCGTCCCCTGACAAAAGTATAGTGTGAAACTTAATATAATATATATATATACATGTATATATATATATATATATATATATATATATATATATATATATATATATATAT